ATAGACGCTCGGAATCCAGCAATGTTTCCGCTCAGGCCTTTTCTGTTTTTTTCGTAGTTATCCACCTGAAGCTCACTCAGCTTTCAGCAAGTCCTTGAAATTTCGTTCCCTTTTTGAGACGTATATATTTAAACGACCGCCTGAACCCTAAAATTTTTCAATGCTGGGGCGTTTACCTTGCTTTCTTGTTCCCTTAACCGCTGCCAGTTTCTTCCTCATATTTTTCGAAACTGATGAATACGACTTACTTTAGTGTTGTCCATACTTTTGCTGACAGAAGACTTGGATGCAGAACGTAGTTGGGCGATGTGCATTTGGCCTTAAGAAAACTCGATTTTTAAAATTTGGCCTGAGAATGGGTGTCTAGGCTACCGCTCCATAAAATCCCACGCCATCGTGTTTGATGTCTAGAGGTAGTAAAATCCATCGAAGGGGTCTTGATAGAGGCATATATTACCAGACACGGGGACTTTCTACATGGGATGCCCGAATAAGTCAGTAGAAGTACGTCACTGGTAGAGGGGCGCTCACCTATCGTTTTTTACGGCACTCACTCCTCCCGTTGTGCCTTAGGGCTCTCTCTCTCGAGCCCAGCCAGCAGCTGCACGGGGAGCGGGATATAGGCAGAATAGCATTACGGACAAAGACAAAGGAGACTGGAATGACCATTTCTGGCTTATTAGCCGTCGTCAACCGGCCATACGTCAGAAATATGTACATCCTTTAGTACTCGTTATGCAGTATGCCAGACAACTTGGTACAAGTTCAGATACCGCCACCTGCGGTCCTGCTTTCCAGCCCCACCGAATCTGAGTAAATTTCGGAGCTTAGCACCTTTTGGAATCCATTTCGTGCACTGTTGAGGTAGGAAGTGCACTTTTTGGAACTCCTTCGGCTAGTGTGCCTGTAATTAAACTTAGCATAATGAGGAATGTGGATGCGGTGGCAGACCCCTTAAGTAAGCTTATGGATGCAATTCATGCATGTGGGCGTTTGCAGAGGTGATAGTATTAGCCTGTCAAGTTGATATTCTTTCACTGGATAAGAACGTCAGAATATCTAGCGCGCCTATAGCATTGAGGGGTGTATGTGCCGCAAAATGATTGGCTGTAAGCCCGACCGGCACCCTAGTTGTTTTAGGTTATGCCGAGAGGAAATGGATTAGACCATTGCAGGGTCTCGCCACTATGATGACTTCAGTACTTCTGGCGTATTGCATAGGATTAAAAACCCGTTACTCTCTGGTTTGATTGTTTTTATCAGGTAGTCAAGCGTTGTGCGACTAAAGATCATCTTTCCCATGCTTTTCTTCTTTGTAACTGCATCTGTAACTGAGACCACAGTATTTACAATTGATCACTTTTAACAATGATGAACTTGGGACCACCCATCTCTGGCTTTCTCGCGCAAGTCACGATGCAGAGATTGGAGCTATCGCCTTACCATTAGTTAACCCCGAATTATGGGCACGTTATGTTGATGACACTTGTCATCGTCAAAAGTGATCAACTGGACATACTCCACAGCATTATTGACTTAACACTTCCAGCAATCACATTCACACTCGAGAAGGAGGCTGACAACAAACTCCTGTTTCTTGATGTCCTCGTACAGGGAAAGCCTGATGGGACATTCCACACTTCAGTTTACCGCAAGGAAACCTACGCGGAAATTCTTTTGCATTAACCAAGCAAGAACTCATTGTTCAGACAGCGAAACCTACCAAACAGAACTGAATTATTTGTTCAGACTGTTTTCCCAGAATGGGTATCCTAGATATTTTTACACCGATGCATGAGACGACAGGAGTCAAAAGAAAGGTACAAGGAAGTAGATTGTTCCGATCAGGCGCCAAAACCAAAAAACTGGCGAACACTTCCGTACATTAAGAATGTGGCCGAGTAGTTGAAGGACACCTGAGAAAGCACCAAATACATGTGGCGCACAAGCCGACGACTACACTCCGCAACCAGCTTGTACACCCTAGGAACAGGGTTGACTACTTAGATAAGGAAGTCGTCCATGAGATACCATGCAACACCTGTAATGCGGTTTACTGTGGTCAAACTGGGAAATCGGCCTCTACACGGATACACGAACATCGGCTGGCCGTAAAAAGGCGAGACCACTTGTCCCTAGTTGCCATGCATACGCTGGAAACTGGGCACAAATTCGCCTACGACAAGAATCGTACTGTAGGTGCTAAGACAGGCCGCGACTTTTTAGAGGCCATTCATTCTGATAGCTCATGCATCAATCGACGCGTAAAGTTGGGTGCTGTGTACAACAACCTCTAGGAAAAGTACAAAATGCGTTGGCCAGTCAGAACATTACGCCGGCAGGAGTGACAGGGTAAAGTCGATTTTTAGGCATGTTTGAATGTTAACTGTTTCGCACGTTTACTTCACGTCTGAGGACGACTTGGGGAACCGAAGTTGAATATTTACAATTAAATTTGTTTGTCTTTCCCAAAGAACGCATTTCTTCAGAATTATGCTTCTTGTGATTCCCGTCTTCAAATTCGTCGTCAGCCAGTCGTGCCCAACCCCGAAGTGTGGAACATCCGAGGCTCGAACTCGCTACCCGTTAGTTAGAAGTCCACGCCTCTAACCACTGGGCCGCGGGCCCGTTGTCTTGTCGATTTTCGATCGGGAACTTACAATGGTAGAGGGATGCTCTCCGATCGTTCTTACGGAACTCACTCGTTCCGTTGTGCCTTACGGGCTCTCTCCCTCTAGCCCAACCAGCAGCCGCACAGCGGCGCATGATATAGGCAGAATGATATTACCGACATACAAGGGTGACTGGCATGGCCATTTCTGGCTTATTAGCCGCCGTCAGCCAGTCATACCCAACCCTTCTACCGTTGTATATTCTCGATCGAAAACCGGTAAGACAACGGACCCGTGGCCCAGTGGTTAGAGGCGTGGACTTCTAACTAACGGGTCGCGAGTTCGAGCCTCGGGTGTTCCACACCTCGGGGTTGGGTATGACTGGCTGACGACAGCCAATAAGCCAGAAAGGGCCATTCCAATCTCCCTTGTCTACGTCGGTAATACCATTCTGCATATATATATATATATATATATATATATATATATAATGTGAAAAAAGGAAGAGGTTCTTCAGAAAAATCGAGTTGTACTCGTGAATTTTCGAGTGGGTGACACCAACTCGTCGTCATACGAAATGAAAACAAGGGAGACATTTAGCTTGTCACACTAGACTAGTTAGCGCGACAGGACAGACAGACTATTGGCCTATGATAGGGATGGTTATAGAGTCATGGTAGGTATCTGGGCGAGGGGTAAGGAGGAACAATTACGGATCCCTGCGCTGGCGGAGGAGGGCGGTAGTGGATCGATTGGACTCCGGACGGCTGGATTAGCGGTCGTTGATATGGCATTAGGGCACAGTAAGTCGTGAGCGTAGGCCCCCGGGAAGACGGGTTGCCCGTTAGCCCAGCTACTGTCTACTTGGCGCGTCCACAGGTGGCGGATAGTGGAACGACCATCACTGAATGCTAGCTGCGAAATAAGCAGACCGAGGCCTGACCAATAAGCAGTCGCGGGCCAGCAGCGGCATTGCTACCATTGTGCGGTCGGTTGAGGTCTGGCTCGCTTAAAGCCTTATAAAAGGCCGCAAAGCCCAATGACGGCATTGAGATATGGCGACCGTAGACCGCCATCAGATAAGCTTGCTCGCTACCACTGCCTTGTGGTTAGGCTTTTTAGCTAAAGCGCTAGAGGAGACAACCTCGGACAAACAATCCGAGCGGCTGTTGGAGACCCACCCGTATTCGGAATTCCCAAGAAACCTCATGAAATATCTCCAGTTACAGAATTACGATCTGTGCAACGGCGTCCGCGGGAACCGACGCGCTCCGCAACCCTGGTCCAATGGTGCGGACGAATAGTAGGTGAGTTGGACGGACTCTTTGTATTGGATGCTGGAACGTGCGAACGTTCCTGGACCCCGGCACCGAAAGTCTGCCTGTGCGCAGCCTTGATCAGTACAACGTGGATGTCTGCAGTCTGCCTGAAGTTCGACTTCCTGACTCAGGCTCCTGTGAAATAAAGATCCTTGGTGTCGAATCACACTTTACTCTGTACCACAGCGGCCCGCGCGACTCTTCTGGTCGACACGGTGTGGCGATCGCAACAGGCGGACCTCGCGCTACTTGCTTGGAAACCAGTCAATGACCGGATGACCTACGTGCGAATGAAGGGTCACTTCACGAACATCTCAGCTGTCTCTGTGTACGCACCAACTTCGACTGCCGAACAGCGCGATAGAGAGGAGTTTTACTCGCAGTTGCAAGCGTTAGTTGAGACTGCCTCGCCGCGATCTTCTGATTGTTGCTGGCTATTGGAATTGTCGAATTGGACCTGGCGACCGCACAACCAGTCATCTTCTTGGCCGCTTCGGGCCTGGTTCCCGATGTGAAGATGATGAGAGATTGCTGAACTTCACTGGTCGAAACCGACTGCTTGTCACCAAAACATGTTTCAGGCATCGCAAAGAACATCTGCTGGCCTGGTATTCAAACGACGGGCATACGGCCCGTCAGATTGACTACATACTACTCAGCTAAAGGTTTCGCAGCTGGGTTCGCGATAGTAGATTGATGCCTGGTGCCGAGACTGGTAACGCCCATGGGTCGAACCATGTCCTCGTTCGTACACGCTTGAAAGTTCATCTCTCATCCGCGCCAAAAAATGCCACGTCCTAGACGCCTCAATGTCGCAGAAATTCGGCGAACCAGTACTGCCTAGGCCCGGAGCAGAGAAATCCGGACCTGTTTTACGACCTGAACCTACGGAGAAGGCAGTGACCAGTGGTAGTCACTAAAAACATCAATCTATTGGGCAGCTCAGAAAATCATTGGACACATCCAGCGACGCCGCATCGACTAGATCAGCAGAAGAACTCTGCTGTTGTCAGCTCAGACGGTTCTAGCCGAGTCCCGTAACGATAACTGTTTCCGTCAACCTCGGAAGATGACGACAAAATCGGCCAGGGATGACCGGAGGCAGTATTGGATTGAAATAGCGACCTCCATGGAACAGGCCTCGAACGTTGGTGACACTCGAAAACTCCACCAACTTATCCGCCAAGTTAGCGGTAAGCTCTCTACACTGAGTGACTCATTTCGTGACGTGAATGACGACTTTATAGCTGACAACTCGGCCAAAGTCGAACGCTGGCGTGAGCACTTCGAGCACCACCTCAACCTCGATACCCAACCTACCTCGCCCTTGCTCTCCTCTTCAGTGAAATGTCTTCCCTCTCCCACCTATGCAGTGCCATGCGACCCCCCCCCCTCTGAAGGAGAAGTCGTCGATGCCATACGAAAGCTACACAGCAATAAGGCACCCGGAGAGGACGGTATACGCACTGAAATCTCCAAGTCATGTGTCGACACTGGCACCCTCGCTCTGTGAGGTGATTGAACAAGCGTGGAGAGACGAGTTTGTTCCTGATGACTGGAGCTTAGGCATACTTGTACCTATCCTTAAGAAGGGAGATAGGACGAGATGCGAGAACTACCGTGGCATAAGTCTCATCGACTCGGCTGCGAAGATCTTCGCTATTGTCCTACTCAGGCGATTCCGGACTGTGCGTGACTCAAGGACGAGGCCTAATCAAGCCGGATTTCGTGCTGGAAGTGGATGCGCAGACCAGATATTTACACTGAGGTGCATTCTCGAATTTCGCCAAAGCTACTAACAACCGACGGCCGTCTGCCTTGTTGACTTTGCCGCCGCGTTCGACTCCATCCATCGTGATCCCCTGTGGCGGATAATGGCGCTAGATGGTGTACCGGCAAAAATCATCGCCATGATCAATGCCTATTATCGCTCCACTACTGAGAGAGTACTAGCCCGCAACAATCTTTCCCAACCATTCGGTATTCGGTCTGGTGTTCGACAGGGTTGTATCCTGTGGCCCATTCTCTTCAACTATGCTATTGACTGGATCCTCGGGGGAGGCCTACACGAAGGTGACGGTGTTGAGTTTGCACCCGGACACGGATTGACTGGTCTTGACTATGCCGATGATATCGCCTTACTTGCTTCACGTTTTGGTGATCTGCAGTCTATGGTGTCATGGGTGGACGAGGTCGCTAAATCGGTCCGTTTATCCATAAACGCCGGGAAGACTAAGGCGTTTTCAAGCTGCATACCTGACCAGGAGAAGACACCCCTCGGGATTGATGGCTGCCAAACTAAAGAAGTAGACAGTTTTAAATACCTAGGGGCGAGGCTGCTGCCTAATGGACAGCGTAAGGACGACATTGTCTCCCGAATTGATGTTGCCTACTAGGTTTTCTTAAGCCTTCGAAAATGCCTAAGGATCCGACGTGACCTTCATCGCCGCTACGATTTGCGTGTACCGTGCATCTGTCCGGTCTGTCCTTCTCTATGGTTGTGAATGCTGGGCTTTGCGTGTGGAGGACGAGCGAATAGTGGAGATATTTGATCACCACTGCTTGAGGACCATCCTTCGAGTTAAGTTTACCGACCTCGTCTCAAATGAGACAGTCCGCGCTCGCTGCGACAACATCGCAAGGATAGCTAAGGCCATCCAAGAAAGGTGACTGAGGGAGTTCGGACATGTTCTTCGTCGTCCACCTCAGAAGCTCAGTGTTACTGCCCTCGATTCGGTACCGGTGCCCCATAGGAAGCGTCGACGAGGAGATCAGTTCAAAACCTGGCTCCACACAGTTCGTCAAGACATGCAGGTGGTTCTTGGACCTTCGGTATTCGGTCTCCGTCGTTGGCGAAGGGAATGGGTTGAGCCGTCCAGATCTGCTGCCGCGGGTCGTTACGCGTGAAGAGGTATAGTTCGTGACATCATCGAGGCCGGCTAGATCGGGCATGATCGCAGCCGTATCAAGTACAAGTAGGCCCTCGTAATGGACTTCCAGGTCAGAATGGCGGTTGATATCACCAGCATTGGAGTGTCAAGTCTCGAGAAATCCTCTCGCCCGTTTTGTGTTAGTCATGGCGACGACCTCAGTGCCATTCCAATTGCATCGGTGGTTGCACTCGAGTGCGTGAGCAAAGACGAGGGACAGGGGTTCCCGCCGACGAACAGCCAATTTGTGTTCATCAATACGGGTGCTCAGGTGTCGGCCTGTATGACCAACGTACACGCGAGGGCAATTTGCGCACGGAATGCGATAAACTGCGTTTGTTTGCTGCTCTTTGGGGAAGAGATCCTTGATTCGAGATAGTGCTGTGCGTAGTGAGGATGCTGGTTTGTGGGCAACGCGGATACCGAACTGGTTTGGCTGACAGGCGATCATTTCTGAGGTTCCCTGCATATAGGGCAGGGAGAAGAATTCCCGTGTCACGACTTCTCCGTTTAAGGAGGGGTCTCGGGGTTGTGCCTGACGCCTGAAGCAGTTCTTCGCAAAACTTATCGGATATCCATTAGATCGAAACAACTGATACGGATAAGCTAGTTCTTTCTTCAGTTAATCGTCTTTGCTGCAATAACGGTAGGCCTGGTGGAGGAGAGTTCAAATGCAGCTTCTTTTATTAGCCGCAGGATGATTGCTTCCATAATTGAGGATGATCTCAGAATCAGACACCGGGTGCGAGACTACCATCGTCTAGCCTTTGTATCTTCACGTCTAGAAACGACAGACTGTCTCCTACTGCCTCTTCACGGGTAAATTATATGGCTGGAAAGACATCATTCAGCCTCTGATGTAGCCTTTCGCCTTCACAGTTCTTAATTACGGCGAAGTTGTCGTCGACATAGCGGAACCGAATTTTAGGCTTGAGAGTTCGAAAAACCTCATCCTATAGTCGCTTTAGCACTAGTTTGGCGAGTGGTCCGGATCTTGGGGAGCCCATTGGACTTTCCTTCACCTGTTCGTTGTATTTATTGGTGAAATCACATTAGTCCTTAATGCAGAGTTTGAGCTGCTCTGGGATATCAACAGAATTGTCCCGTAACCGTTGGGCTACGAAGTCAATTGTCAAATCATGCGGCAATATATGAGAAGGTAGACGATCAGAGGAAGCATGGTTTCATTGGCCTGACGTTTCGAAAGCAAACAACCTCCCATCATCGGGGGTGGGTTGCGTACGGAACGTCACAGTATTTAAGGGTTTTTCTCCGTGCTGACGTGTCACTGACTTTCAGCGCGCTCAATTACGGGGTTGACGGTTGTTGTCATGGTGGCATTGGTCCCTCCTCATCCTTTGTCGGGTGTGGGGAGGGGGGCGACGTCGAGGTAACTGTGGTCATTACTTTCGTCTGCATTGTCCGTTGTCCGCCCTCCATGTATCTCGCATTCCTGTCCGTAACCGTGTTGACGGGGGTTTTCATGCCAGTGTCGACGTCGGGCTGGGGATCCCTATCGCTGTCCTTTGTTCTCGCTGAGTGCTCGCGTCTGCCTGCGTTCAGACCCAGTAGGCGGTCTCCTGGGTTTGCGTTCGCCACCGGTTGTCTCCTGTATTTTGTCCGTTTCCGATGCCCGTCCAAACTTGACCGTGTTCTATTTTGGTCTGGATTTGACTACCGTCGTCTCGGGCCTGACATCTAGCCCGTAGTTCTGCTTATTGTACTGTCCCCATAGGGTTTGGTAGGCAGCCGGCAGAGTTACACAGCCGTTCATCGAGGTAGTTGTGGTGTGCCAGCCCTCGGGCGTCTGCCTGAACGATTGATCGCTCCCTTGGCCCAAGACTTCAGCGTCTTGGGAAGCGGAGGCATGGTCAGAAGCTGTGCAATGTACCGCCATCAGCGAGAGCTTATCCATTTTTGGCGCCGCTCTTGCGTGCTCGCCCATGCGGGTCTGCAATCTCTTCCCAGTCTCTCCAACGTAGTTCGCTCCACGGGAACTGCACTGGGTCCGATAGACGATGTTGGCTGTTTCATCCCATGACAGAGGTCTTTTGGTCTCATGGCCGGACCTCTAATTGTCGCTTCGGCATTGTGGGCGATGCCGATACCCAATGGTTGAAAGAAACGAATAACTGCCTCGGAAACGTTCGCTGTATATGGCAGCGCTCGCCAGACTGTCGGATGATTCGCCGTTAACTTTATGGTCAGTCTGGACAGTCTGCTGCGTTCTATAAAACCACAGGGGCAACCGTTGGGAGTGAACATTCGACGTAAATAGTGGAGTTCGACTACTTTGTCGGCGGCTTCGCTGCAGTGAGTGCCAACTCTCTTGTAGAGAGATCGCACACAGCTTCGTTTTTGGCACAACGGGTGATTCCTGTGGTGGGACAGGACCTGCCGGATGTTGGTGGTCTTACTGTAGACCGTCGTTTTCAGGCTCCTGTTCACCTTGCGATGAAGCAGGACGTCTACGAACGGGGATAAGTCGCCATGGCATGACTTTGTAGGGCCAGATCCGAAATTTAAAAGAACATTCCAGTCGAAAACTACCAACTACTATGGAATAACCACATAATGCCCATTCTACAAACAAGTGGTACTACGAGTTGTATTGAATCCATATGGTGAAGGTAAAATATATGTGCCAAGTAGGCGTGCGACCCTCACTGTGGAGGTTAGGATCTCACTCGATCCCATTCTGTCCGTCCGCCAGCCTGCTACTGGCGACAACGAACGCTGTGTCGTAGGACATATATCACTTATAACAAATGGGCATCTCGCCAAGAGTGTAGCAGGCCAGGCGCAGACAGCTGTTTCACAGTCGTTACCGATCATCAGTACGTCATACACCTTATGAAGTGATGCATATACACATGTCAAGTAGGCGTGTGACTCTCACTGTTGTGCTTAGGGTCTCACTGTTGACGGTCTGTGTACCACCAGAATTTGATGCTTCTTTAGGTACCTTTTGGCCAGTTCAGACAGGTTTTTGATGTAAGGGAGAGTTCGCCAAGTATTTGGTTTCGGTGCCTGATTGGAACTACTTGGTTCCGTTTCTTTTAACAAATCGTGGAATCCTTTTGTCAGACTCGGTCTAGAAGTTAATTGTTTCTGCACGCCCGTTGTCTGAAGACGAGCTGGGGAACCAGCCTCGAAAATTTACACAACAAAATTTGCTCTTTCCCAAAGAATTCCATCTTCCTAATTATATCTCTTGGGATGCCTGTTTTTCAATTGATACGTATGAACTTCGAGCGGAGTGTTCTGCTTTATGCTCGACGATGGGAAAAATGTGCGATTCGCGAAAGTTTGACGCGAGAACAATTATCCTTCTTACACCGATGTCGAAGCAATAGGATTCTACCGAAGTCTGTGCGAGTGAAACCAGCATTAAAGTCATCTCAGGGCTTTCAGATTGCTACCCGGTATGGCCAACAAATGCTTGGAGCATTTATAACTGATGCGCATCAACGACTTCGCAAATTCAAAGAGCAAAAAGAGCACTACATGCAATTTTGCCATGATCAACTGCCTACTTACTTATTTGAGATCCTAAAGGAAACCATCATAAATGTCGCAGAAT